CTGTAAACGGGCGGCCTTTTAGTGCCCCAACCAACATACACAAAAAGCATCAATTTCGTGAGTGATTACAAGTAAGTGACATCGTCTTCCTGAAAAATAGTCTGTTTTTAATAAATAGTGATATTTCCGTCCAGGATCTTTATTTTATCAGTTTTATGTGTAAGTGACCTCATTGTCTCGAAAAATAATCCATTCTTTTTAAAAATAAAATGAAATAATTATTTCTGCTTATTATCACGAATTTTAGGTGCGATAAATTTTATGCGCACACGATCTCATTATCTTGAAAAATAATTTTTTTAATAAAAATTATGATATTTTATCTATGTTAGAAATTTTAAATGCTGTAAATTCTTAGAAAAATAAATTTATTTATTTTTCTTGGCTATTGTTAGAAAATTTTAGATACTATCAAATTATTAGAAATAAATGTGATATTTCTGCTTTTAGTAAAATTGTGATATTTCTTTCTACTGTTTTGAATATTTAGACATTGTAAAATTCATGTGCAAATGACTGCCTTATTATTGACATTTTTGCAATTGATTATAGTATTGTTGTGAAATGTTTATTTGTGGATTGATATCCCATAAATTGTGATAATTCCGTATTCTTGAATTTCTATAAGAGTTTTTATATACATATTAAATTGGCAATTATGCTAGAATGCCTTTACAAACTGCTACCTTTCTAAATTTGAGCCCAAACTATTTGATTGGTTATTTTTGAAATGTTATAGAGAGTGACTGTTATTAATGGTTTAAGTGAAATTCATATTAATGATTTCAGTGATATGTTGAGTACATGATATTGCTGCTTTCGAATGTTTAAAGAGATTTAGAAATAATTTAAGTATGTAAGTGGACTCATCCGGTTCGCCGGTGAGGTATAAGTGGACCTATCTGGGGCGCCGGTAGGGATTAAGTGGACTTATCCGGTACGCCGGTGAGGTATAAGTGGACCTGCAGGGATTAAGTGGACCTATCTGAGACGCCGATAGGGATTAAGTGGACCCATCAGGACGCTGATGGGGTATATAGGTGACCTACTTGAGACGCCAATAGGGTATTTTGTGAAATCCTTTGAATTATGCACTGCCGTTAAAAGTGTTATAAGCATTTCAATTACTCGAATTATACTTAATTATGCATTTATTGAAAGTGAAACTGTTGATGCATTTCCGTTAATAGATCTCATTTTGGAAAATATTGATATCTTTCAATCATGATTATTTTTAGGATTATGATGATCACTTACTGAGTAGCCAAACTCATCAAACTATGGTAAACATTTTTTCAGGATAACTGCGGATTCATTTTGAGTGCTAGTCAAGATCAACCTTGGAAGATACTGTTGTTGTGCTAGCTTTTTTTATTTACTTTGTAAGACCTCGCCATTGTAAATTTGTCCTATCAATAGATGTATTTATGTTTTGTCTGTCACATCTCAGGAATAACAGTATTGTAAATTCTTGGGGTGTGACACTCTGTCTTCAAAAAATTTCCAAATTATCTTTCGCTGATACATGCCAAAATAGACCACACGCTTCCTCGGAGCCACCCTAAGCCATGCCTTCTCACCAAAACCCACGTTGTTGAGAAATATAGTTTCAATACTAGAAAGTTTTGTGATCGCCTTATTGTATTTTCATCTTTAGTTATAAAATTTAAAGCTTCAAAAATAGTGTAGATCGAGAGATCTATGAAAACTTGAAAATCTTGAAAATTTACAGTCCAAAAATGCATAACAAGCTGCACCATTTCCAAAACTTGAAATCCATTTTTTTCTCATGTCCTTACATCTTGATGTCGAGATGATCAATTTGATGATATTTGGACTTCAAAGCAACCTATTCTAATGAAAGTTTTGAGGTAGGCTTTAATTTGATTGTTTAGAGCCTATGCTTTATATAAACTTTTCCCTAGGTGCGGTTTATATAGAGCCTAGGCTCTAAATAAACAAATAAGAGCCTACCTTCATGGTTTCAATTCTGGAAATCTTTGTAATAGCCTTAAAATATATTTTCATCTTTATTTATAAAGTTCAAAGTTTCAAAAATAGTATAGATCAACAGATCTATAAAAACTTAAAAATCTTGAAAATTGACGGTCCAAAAGTGTATTACAAAATACACTATTTCCAAAACTTGAAATCTACTTTGTTTCTCATGTCTATGCATCTTGATGTCGAGATGCTCAATTTGAGGATATTTGGACGTCAAACAACATCTTCTAGTGAAATTTTTGAAGTAAACTCTAATTTGATTATTTAGAGCCTCTATATAAACTTCTATGGACCTTTTCCATTCAAATCATTGACGTAAGATTCAAGAAAGAGACCCATGTTTCGAAGTGGGAGTTTTCAGTGGCAATTGGAAGCCATAGAAATCCCTAGACAACCTCTCTCACAAATCATGGCATTGACGACATGGGTTTTGCAATTCCTCATGAGAGGTGAGAATAGGGCCAGCAATGGCCCAGGTTTCGGTCGGAACGGCCCTGGCTATAGCCCGGCCCTACTTCACACATGAGAGGTGAGAATAGGGCCAGCAATGGGCCAGGTTTTGGCCAGGACAGTGCTGGCTGTAGCCCGGCCCAACCCTGGCTATAGCCCGGCCAGGGCTGGCTCAGCCCTAGGCTTATTAGGACCGGGCTAAGCCAAACTAATTAAAATTCACAGAAAAAAAAAAAAAAAACAGAAGAGTGAGAAAAAGCGGGCCCGATTGAGCCGAATTCAGCCAGGCATGCCCCATGCCCAACCCTACCCTCAAGATACATTTTGTGGCCCAAGCCTAGCTCAGCCCAGCCCGATGCTAGGGTTATGGTTGCCTAACCCTCGGGCCACATTTTTATGGCATAGGCCCTAATCCCGGGTGAGAATATCCGTGAGCTTTGCTGGGTTTTGGTTATCTGTTTAGAACTGGGCAACTGCCTTAGACTACCAGCAATACCTAAGGTAAAAGATTCTGACATTTGCACTTTGACTTTCTAGACGCCCGATTTAGTTGCATGTAGGGGAGAGAGATAATTTATGTGTCATTGGGATCCCATAGAAGCTTTGCCCTGTTTATTCTTATTTTTTGAGAATTCTTATTTATTATATTTAGGTTTCATTTATTTATTTTTGACAGCATTTTCTAATTTTTTCTGTGATATTTTATTTGTGTTCTTGTTATATTCCCTTGTTTAATCCTGATGTTCTATGGAGTTTTTACTATTTTCCATTAATTATTTGTTATGCTGTCAGGTTTAATATGCCCTAAATGCAAATCTTTGTTCTCTGTAGTTCTTTTCTTGTCATCCCTCAAGTTTCGTGACATTTCAAGAACTATTTGGCTATTATTTGAATTTATTTCCTCTATAATTCAATATTTTTTTAATTTATTTTTTTCTTTGTGGTTTTCAAGTCATGTTGAAACAACTTTTCTCAATATATTGGTTTCCCCCAAACTATTTGGGCAATTTAATTCTTTCAAAAGATATTTTGGTCATTATATTTTATCAAAAAATTATTTTTACTAATTTTTATAGGTGCACCTAATGAGAAGATGACATGTACCAAATTTCATATTCATACAAATTTTATTCAAAAAATTTTAAATAAAATACTTTGAGATAATCTTTATTAATCATAGGTCGGCAGCAGATGGCTAGGAACGGATAGATTAAGACCCACCCGGATACGGAAATGCAAATGGACAGGGACAGACCGGACGGTGAAACGAGGAGGAGGAAGGCTTCTTCCGTCCGGTTCAATCTCTTAACTTAGAAAAGATTCTTATGACAAATATTGTTATCCACTGTTCAAGACCGGTACAAGTCTTTCCCGAAGAAGAGGACTAGTGATTGATGCCCCACCTTCCCTAGGTGGTAAATTCCGATAGTCAACTTGGCCAGAAACCTAGGATCAAACGGTGAGTAGCTTACTTGATAAGATTGAATGGTTAGATGGTAGGGAAAACCTAAATCTTCTATGGTGCAAGGAAAGTATAAAAACCTTTTTTTTTTTTGAAAACATCTATATGAGTAAGTTTACTGCCAAGCCCTATTATCAAGTCTTGAACTCCATTCTCACTTAATAATGGGAGCCCAAATCCCTTAACTTTTTTATTTAACCAAAAAAAACATTTCAGAAGGGCAGAATTCCCCATCAAGTCCTATGATCAAGTCTTGAACTCCATTCTCACCAAATGGTAGGAGCCCAAATACACCCTTATTTTTTATTTAACAAAAAAAAAAACATTTTGGAAGGGCAGAATTCCTCAGCCTTTTGGGAGCCTTTTTCGCAGGCATTAAAAATGAGAGACTTAGACTTCCTCTCCCATATTTTGCCGGCGTCAAACATGCCTAAATGAACCTACTCTGGAAAATGCCACATTTCTTCGCATGGACTTGATCACCCGGAATCAGATAATCTGACTCAAAAATCTCCCATTCGGGTGGATTTTCCAGAAGAGAAACCTATTCGTATTTTATGAACACTGATATATACATTTGCTTATCCATTATTAGGACTGCCACACCTTGAAAATAACTAATTTTCCATAAATTTCTACAATACAGGACCGAGCATTTCATTTAAATCCTTGAAACTCTCATCCACTAGCGATGCTTTAACCTAAGGTTCTAAAAATTAAACCTTCAAACTTCTATATAAATGAGATCATTTGGACATTAACCTTGGTTAAAACTCTCCTTAAAATTTTTAAAACTTCATAAGGAAACACATTTCATCTCTCTTATACAACTTTGATAAAAGCAAAATTGAAACAACTGAACCTTTCAAAAACACACTCTCATATCATCATCGCCGTCGTCGTCACCACACATGACTCAATAATTTTCCTTATTTTAATACCTTCTTTATAACATGTGATAGAATGTCCAATTTGCGACTAATTTGGAAAGAAAAAGGAAGAATTGGGAAATGTCTTATAAACAACGCAATCAAAATCACGTGCTAAAAACAAAAAAAGAGAAAACAATAAATGCTATAGAACATTAGATAAGAAATGCATAGACAATGCCTAGGCCTCATACCCACTCAGCTATTTTCTTTCAATTGTTCGATCATTCGGTCCAATATGCATTGTTTGGGAGATAAGACAAAGAAACCTCCAACCAAAGCCTATCAACCCCTAAAAATACACGAACATAACAATAGCTACATATTGAATTGCACTAAGGCCTGAGAAAGTGAGTGAAGTGAATGAATACCTGTAGTCCAACTCAAAAACAGCTCTGCCTTCAGTTTTATTTTTCTATATCAACCTGCTTAAGGACCTGATGAGCAATTTTAGATTGTGCCTCGTGACTTCATCACCAGTGAAACCTGAGATATCAGAGCTTATACCCTGCATGAATCAAGATAGATTAAGCATCATGGGAGAGAAAGCCTTGTGTTTTGTATTTGCTCCAAGGCCTGGTCCCATAAAAATAAGAAAAGGAGAAAGAAAGATGGGATTTTTTTCCCTTTTTTTTTTTGTCTTAGCAAATGCATGAAGAAAATTGGGTGATCATCCCAAAAACAGTGAGAGTAAATGTGTGTTTTATTGATAAAGTAGGAAAAGAGATTGGGAAGCTCAATGCCAGTGAAATCCAAGATATCATAGCTTATATTCTGGAACACATGAAAAACAAAGATTTTTTTTTATATCCTGTTTGTTTTTTTGAAGGATGGGGGGAATGTTTGATCTAGGAAGGAAATATGGAAAATTAAACTCACTTTTTCCCCAAACCTCTGAACAAGTAAAAATTAGAAATAGTGGAGAAAAATAATGGCTATAAATCTAGTCAAGAGAAGATATTTTTCTTTCATAAAATAAAATTCATTCCAATAGCACCATCTCCCATAATGAGATATCCCACCATTTATAAGCCTATGAAACACTAAAATAAACTTGGGAGCTAAGTAAACAATTTAAGACTCTAAAGTACCCCTATTCTAGAAATACCCATGCGAACAATATCTGTAAATAGTAACCCATAAACAGTCCTCATGAATAGTAAAAATAAAATAAAATAGAAACTAAGTATTGGAGATTAATCCTACATTATAATTCCTAAAAAAAAAAAAAAAAAGAAACATCTACATTCATGAAATTAAAAAACAAAAAATAAAATTAAAATTTTGAATCACCCATCTCTTGATCTCTATCATTCTCCCTTGGTTAAGGAAAACTTGCCCTCAAGTTTTGAAATGGGTTACTACAGATCCTCCTCTAAACACAAGGTTTCTTTCAACGCCAGTATTACGAATTGATATTAGGGCATGATCCTAGGACCTATGGGTTATCAGGCCTAATCAAAATATCCCCGACATATTCTCAAACAAGTCGCTGAATATTTTGGAGCATCCAGCTATAGTAGCCTACCTTTGTGAGATAGAATCCGCTAACTGAAAACCGAAAAGGTCAGCCCCATCATTGGTGAGAGAAAAGAGCTTTTTATGATCGCTGCGTCTAGTTACCTCCACTATGAGCTCTTCACAACCACCACTATCGCAATCATTACCATCATTGCAACAACCATTGCCATCACCTGCAACTTATTCTTCTTCATAAATTGGACCTCCAAGTTCTTCGTTTTCATCCAATAGTTCATTAAAAAGAGGATTACCATCAAAGATGGGTTCATTTAGTTCTTTATCAAAAATAGGATGACTATCAAAGATAGTAGCACTATCAAGATAAAACCATCCACTGACTCAAAGAATATTGAATCCAATTGATCATTGGATCCCTATTTTTCTCCTTCAAAATTATGTTCCTTCAAAATTATCTTCCAGCCGATGCCATCATGCATCAAACTCATCTACGTAACTTGACACCTCATCAGTTTGTTCCCACTCAGACTCAACACTTAGATTCGCGCCAATCTCCATAGACCTTCACGATTTCGATCTATCCATGTAGATTCCTTTAGTGTTGAGGGCATTGTTGTTGGTCTCTCTTGCGCAATAATTGTGGAACCCCCTTTGTCAAGTTGTTGATTTCCTTGCACAATTGGACCAAATTGGCATGTCCACAGCTAAGAGCTCCAAGACCAGTCATCGCAATCTCTAGCTGTTTTCAAACCGAGCTCTGATACCACTTGATGTAGGAAGGAAAGGCGGGAAATTGACTTGATGCAGGAAGGAGAGGGAAATTGACTTGATGCAGGAAGAAAAGGTAGGAAATTAAATTAACCTTTTTTCCAAATCTTAAACAAGTACAAATCAGCAATAATGGAGAAAAAACACGGTTGTAAATCAAGCCAAGAGAAAAGAACTTTCTTCTTTTACAAAATAAAATTCAATCAGCCTCCTATAATGTGATGCCCACCTTTTATAAGCCTATGAAACCCTAAAATTAACTCGAAATCCAAGTAAGACTCTTAAAGTATCCCTAAACAATACTAAAATTCTAGAAATCCCGCTGTAAACATTAACCCATGAATAGTAACCCATAAACAATACGCGTGAATAGTAAAAAAAAGAAGATAAAAAAATTGAAACTAAGTATTGAAGATTAACCATGCATTATAATTACTAAAAATTAACCCTACTAAAAAAATAAAACATGCACCCACATCCATTAAATTCAAAATAAAATAAAATTATTGAATCACCTATTCTTGATCTCCATAAGAAAGAGAAAAAAGAAAAAGGCGAGGGGGGAAGGGGGAGGGGGAGGGGGGTGTGTTGGTTGGGGTTGTCCTTTGTGGTGAAGATAAAAACTAAAATATTAGGTCTTTTAGCAAGCTAAAGAAAACAAAATAAGAAGGAAAGGATTAGATTACCTCAATGTTTTTCAGGGTACGTATGAGGGCGGACAGCGACTGCCGGATTAGTTCAGTGTTCTCAGTGGTCAACATGGAAGAATGTACCCTCCTGCAAGAAGAAGAGTAAGACCACATGGACTGCAATGGATTAAAGATAGCGGGCTAGCATTGTACATGATAAATATGAGGTTCCATTGTAAAATGCCACGTTGTTTCTCTTTCAGGAAGGTGCTTAAAATTAGTTTGGCTATGGCTAAGAAATTCAGGCAAGAAATACCGAAAGCTTTCTTCATTATCATGTTACCTGGTGGAGGCAGACTGGCACCATAATGATGCTAGCAAGCAATTTCAAAGTTTTGGATTTGGGATAACTTTGCGTAAAGGCCAAAACCATCTCCCTCCCCTCTATTATCTTCTAATTTCTGACGGGTTTCCACCAAAGTTGATTCTTTGAAAGCACTGAATTATTTTTTTGCATAAAATTTTTTCAGTGAAATAAGCCATAAACAGTGAACATTGTATTTCCTTGCTGAAGTTTGACAGAACTTTAGACAATTTTGAAATCAAATTTCATTACTAAAAGGGACCAATACTGATTTGGGATGAACCTCAGGCTACGACGGTCAATGCATAAATCAGACCTTAATTTTGCTCCAGTTCTAGGAGGCGATAAACACCAAATTCAATTCTACCTCTTATTCTACATGTAAAATCCATCTTAGTTTTGGTCACCATGGTTAGTTATTCTACCTCAAATCTTCACTTGCATCTGTCAGACGCTTGGTCAAATTCTCTACATCCCTTAGCAGGCCGCTATCACGAACCTCAGATAGCAAAGGTTGAATATCGTCAGTTAAAGCTTCAATCTGTGACATCACTAAATCCAATAGAACATCTTGTTATGACCATTTATAAGGTATTTTCAGGAATTTATTAAGACAAAAATTAGGAAATTTAGAACCAACACACATTAGGAAGTTGAAAAAAAAAACAAGAATTCTGGGATAGTAACAAATTGCTCCCACAAGCATCAAATTGTGGACCATCTCAAGTTATTCCATCGTCTAACAATTTTTTTTACCTATGATTTGTAAACTTCATGTAACCTTTCTTGTGTGTAAAACATTCTTTTACTGTTCACAGTGGCAAACTTGAAAGTCAACTTTCAGAGGAGCAGTAGCTCAACCATCAAGTACTTAATTGCCTTGCTGGTGTATCAGGCCATTCTTATGGCAATATGCCAGAGTATCAAAGAAACGTTAAGTCATTAATCCATGGTTTTATTTTTCTTTTGTCAAGGACCATTTTAGGCCCTGTTTGGACATCTAGGTAGTCATATCCAAGGAATATCTTTAGCTGCCTTGTGCGAAACCATGAAAATAGTTAGTATTCAATTGTTACAATCAAGTGGAAAAATATCTAATTTTACGGGGATAGAGGAAAAAGATATCTTCCCTTGTATTGTATCCCACAATACATTAGGGGAAAATGCCACTTATCTGCAGCACTCTGCCAATAAGCAGGTTCCAAACATTTGGAGTCTGTAAATCGTGGCATGCACAGCGGGGATGCCACCTAGTCAGGCACAAATGTGTGGGATTTTTCTTGCTATGACAAATAAATTGTGCATCCAAACTGGGCCTTATTCTTTTCACACGTTCAAAAGCTCACACATTGAACATTATAACCGAAAAATATTATATTAGGTGTCTGATTTTCAAAAGGTATCAAAGGTTCCAGCAATACTTGAACTGAACTAATGATCATTAACTCCCGATCTCATAGATCTAAGTGAAACAACAAAAGACTTTAAGGATAGCAAAGATCCTAGTTGGTCCCAGACATCTAGAGTTGGGTTCTGAGGACCATGAAATTAAAAGATAGGCAGGAGAGCATCTACAAATCACTTGAACAGAAAAAATACATGGTGATTATTAAAAGAACATGCTTATAATCTAGGCAGGAGAGCATCTACAAATCACTTCGGTATGATCAGGAAATTTCATAAGTAGGATCATCCATTGTATGTGCGCACCGATCGCAGAAACGCTAGGGCCAAACTCAGATGTATAGGTGACAACTCCAGTTGGGGTCCAAGTGGAATTGGGGGCCCCAGCACAAGCACCTCAATAAAGGGCAGGCTTATACCAGAATAACATGACAGAAGCAGGGTGTGACAAACTCCCAACCCTGGTAACAACTTCATGAGGCTTCTTTGTGACCAGTCAGGCACAGACAACAAGGGCCTGGTCCACATAAGTAGGATCATCCATTGAATGTGCACACCAATCGCAGAAACGCTAGGGCCAAACTCAGATGTATAGGTGACTCAACCCCGGCTGGGGTCCAAGTGAAATTGGAGGCCCCTGCACAAGTACCTCAATAAAGGGCAGGCTTATACCAGAATAACATGACAGAAGCACGGTGTGACAAACTCCCAACCCTGGTAACAACTTTATGAGGCTTCTTTGTGACCAGTCAGGCACAGACAACAAGGGCCTGGTCCAACAGTCCGACAAATGACCATCAGAAATATTACTCAGTCTAAGTGTGTACAAGGTGATAAACATCATTTCCTGGTATATTCTCAACATCACTGTTTTAAACTTTTTATTTTCGGCTTCTGGGAAGTTCTCAGGTTTAATATTGGGATTTGCTTCTGTTTGGTTGAGGATGTGAAGCACTTAAAATTTTGGCGATTTTGGAGGAATTTTTTGGTTTCAATGCAAAATATAAATCATGGCAAAGGAAAAGGAAAATAAGTAAAAAAAGGAACTTCTGTCAAAAAAAGAAAGAAAAAGAAAAAATAGGAACATATCAATATATTTTTTTGGAGTTATAGGAACTTTTTTTTTTTTTGCATGCTTCAAGAGTAAGATTGGCCCAAGTTATTATAGTCAAAATGTTAGCAACATTTTAATATTAATTACAATGGCAAAAAAGAATATTACAAGCAAATTATTATATTTTTCTGCCAGAATACCTGTAAGTTGTTGATTAATTTCTCATCCCCCTAAAAGACCAAATAATTTTCATAGGAAAAAAAGAAAAGAAAAAAGGAAGAAGCCTTACACATATTTGACTCCTCCAGTAAACTATGGTAGTTTACAAAATAAAAGTGAAAACTGTTGTTCTGCACTGTTAATTACTAACAGCTATTTCTTCTTAACAAGTCTTTATTGGATAAAGACATTTCAAATGTGCTTTCATGTTTTATTGCCCCTCTCTCTCTCTCCTNNNNTCTCTCTCTCTACTCTACTACTACTACTACCTACCTACCTACCTACCTACCTACCTACCTAACCTAACCTAACCT